AAAAGAGAGAGAGAGAGAGAGAGAGAAAGAGAGAGAAAGAGCGAGTGATAATATTCATATATATATATTATACACAATTTTGTTCCATGTGCATTCGGAAAGCAACGTCGCGTCTTACCACGATTGTTTCCGATAGATGCAGATATCAAACATGTAACATTCTTTAATTAATGATACGTTACATACGTTAACATTATTAATCTTCGACTGATGGTTTATATTTTGCAATGCCTGACAGGCGATCTTAGCAACATGTACAGCAATTTTTCAAATATTAGCTTCGGCTTCTTTGTTTCGCGCTGTACTTAAACCAAAATAGGTAGTTACGATTGCAACGATATGTATGTGCGCGCGCTCTCATCTATAAATCTATACGCATATGTGCAATTGCAAATATTTAGCAATGAAAAACTTGGAGACATAATATTGAATATTATTATAACATATGTTATTTCATTCAAAATCGAAAAAAATATTACGATCTGTGTGTTATAAATCAGTTTAAGCATTCTCGACTTCGAAAAAGCGATAGAAATTGTATCTGAGATGTTTGGAATCGAAGGTAACATCGTTATTTTCTAGTTCTTGGTATACCATATGATTTTGGTATTGATATGTGGTCCGTGGGATGTACCATATACGAACTATATACGGGAAAAATCATGTTTTCGGGAAAAACGAATAACCAAATGTTAAAGTACTTCATGGATCTAAAAGGCAAAATGCCAAACAAGCTAATTAGAAAAGGATCATTCAAGGATCAGCATTTTGACAGCAACTGCAATTTTCTGTATCACGAGGTTGATAAAGTTACGGAACGGGTGAGTTTATTTAATTACTTAATTATTTTCTACAATAAAGTCTTAGGCCCGTATTCATAGTCGGATCCGTCGGATCTTATTTCAAGACTGTCCTAAGTAATGACTTTTAAGATACTAATACGGCTCTGTGATTGGTTCATAACACTTTAAGATCATATACTTAAGACGGTCTTAAATATAAGATCTTACTATGAATACCGGCCTTAGTCACGCAACGGTGCGCTGTAAGTAATGTTACCTTCTACATGTCACAATGCGGTACAGAAGAAATATAATATGTCAGTTAATAACGCCATCCGTAATGCTCTTGTGTTGCATTTACGGGGGGAAAAAAAATTACCGCAGAGTATTTGCTGATTAATGTGCTTTCCAGGAAAAAATCGTCGTAATGTCAACATTACCAGCGACTCGCGATCTCAGCGCAGAACTCGGTGGAAATTCTTTACCACCGGAACAAAATCGCAAAGTTGGACAACTCAAGGATTTACTGGAACGAACATTGATGTTGGACGCAGGGAAGAGAATCACTGTGAATCATGCTCTGGCGCATCCCTTTATACAAGAAAAGATATAGGTAACCCTGTCTGGGGTCCTTTAGCTTCGAAAAATTCACTGACGTAACTTTGTAAAATGATGCCGTTAACAATCCTTTCTATTAATGTTAAACGTCACTTGTGGTAGAAAAGCGCGGTATGTCTCTCTATTTCTCTATCTCTTTCTCTCATTCTCGTTCCTTCTCCTTCACCTCAATACTCTCGTTTTTTTACATATAGAATATCCGCATTTCCTCTTTTTTTTTCTTTCTTTTTTATTTGGCAGGAAGAGGCGGTGCAAAAAATTGTCCAAGTTGTTTCGTATAATATAAGAATTTTGCAAAACAAAGGAAAAATATAGCAAATGTATTGTTGCACAAAACCGTGCACTTTCCTACGGAAAGTACTGTACGAATCCAAATAAATATTATTTAATTGCGTGTAATTATTGTTAGATGGATAGAGAGTATAATATTTTTATACTCGATATAATAATTGTGAATACAATAACGAATAAAGTTCACCATTATATATAGATTATGTCTTTAATATAGATTAGTCCGTGTTGTAACGCGTATCTGGAAATAATTGGAGTTATAGATGCCGATTTCCCTGTTTAAAATTAAACCTGTCGATTCCTATAGTTATGTTATTTAATAAGAAAAATGAGGATAAAAAGAAAGCAACGACCGCCTCTTTCAGCATGAACTGATATCGCTTTCCTTTTTCCAATTCTCCTACTTTAAAGAACAAAACGTCCTTATAAATAGCATCCTTCATAAATTGATTATAGATCGTGCGTTCATGTGAAATTGTACGTTACGTATTCCCACAAAGCGAGAAGGATTCGTATATATAAAGAACTGTAAGTCCCTTGTGGATCACACATTGTTCGATCCATTTTAGAGTATCTCATCAGCGAGCATACGTGCACATACAGCATTAGAGAAGCCTTAGTGGCAAAGAAACCTGTTTTAATTGGAAGATAAATTGTATAGCGAATAGGTCAGTTATATTGAAATAAAACGACACATGCTTAATACAATGAGAAGAATAATCTGCATTTTGTCTTTTCAATCTTAAATCATGAATCAATATATTCAGTCTAAGTATTTCTTATAGTATTTGTATTTTTCTCTCTTTTTCTAGTTCTCTCTGCCTCGGTTCTTTCTTTATATCTATCTTTGAAATTTTAAGAGCGTTCTACTTGGGAGCTCGCAACGCTCGTGAGCATCATTCTTGCTTGTTTAACATTTGACAAATAACAAGGATGAAATTCGTTCCAAGAGCGTTAGGAGAGCGAAGTGGAACGCACCCATAGAGATAGAACGTGTATACATATACACATATACATGTACGGGTGTGTGCATATATGTACAGATTTGAAACAGTATGGTCTAATAACTTACAAAGGAGAGGGTTGATGAAAAAATGTCAGATGAAAGTTGTAGGGCTCGAAGGGGGCCAATAGATGATCTTATTAAATTTTTGGTCCGGAGCCCATGTTGAGTCCAGTAGAGCCCAAGTCAAATTTTTTGAATAGAAACTCTATTTTTTTATTGTATCATCGTTTTCTACTAATTAATTTGAACAACTTTTGTCTGAAACATTTTTTTTTTCATTTGCTGAATATTTTTTAAGATATTCGAAGAAAACTTGGTAATTTTTTCAATATTTAGCTTACGATATCTTGACAATTGCTTGCCGGACGGAAAAGTGCTGTATGCTTGAGACCAAATCAACAATTCGACAATTTTTTATTTAAAAAATTTGACAGCCCAACACGGGCCTCAGACCAAAAATTTAATAAGATTGTCTATTAGCCTCTGCGAACCCTACAACTCTCATCTGAAATATTTTTTCATTAATCCCTTTATGAGTTATTCGATCGTACTGTTTCAAATGGGACACCCTATTATATACATATAATAAATATATATTACAGACACACACACACACACGCACATGTGCATATACACGTTTTATATACCAGCCGATAAATATGTTTAATAGTTTACCAAACGTAAACGCATAGTCGTGTGTACAACAATGAAAAGGAATGCTTATCTTACGTTTCTATAATGACATATGTAATTAAATATATTTATGATAAATGCTAAATAGAAGTAAAAATGTATATATTTGCACTACGATGTAAAATTTTAAGATAAAGGTGGTCGTCAAGGTATTATATGCGAAATAATATAACAATTATTGAAATGTTACATGTTGCAATATATGTTAAATAAGAGTCTTATTGCTCTCTGCGAGGATGGCATTGCTGACTTTCTTATACTTGTTACGATCTCTTAAAATCAAACTCAAACTTGAAAATTTGGTTGCTTGTTTGAAATTAAAAACTGAATATCGATGCTGTTGTGAATGGTTCACGGCATGATCTTGAACATGACAAGATTGTACGAGACTGCTTATGTTTCAGATGTGTCTTCGATTCAAATCATCGTTAAGTGCGGCCGGACCTTTCAAGGGCCTTTAGCGCCGATCCCGTTACAAGGTATTCATGGGGGATTGCCTGGGATACTTAGCACATCCATTTTTCAATATATATGTTCAGTACAGTTTAATGATGAAGTCATAAGCCGTACGAAAATAGTCCGTGTTTTGAAAATGCTCTGTCTAATAAACTTTTCATGACAGTATAGAAATTTTATTCGAGGCAAAATATAATAGAATTTTAATCAAGTTTCTTAAGTCTCTTATATATAATTGTATAATTAAACACTTACTAAATATTTACAAAATTGCGTTTTTCTGACGATGACTTAAAAAATAAAACATTACAAACATCAAATCAATAGTCAATACTAACATGCGGTACATACACGCGTTTTAGTATTTTGTTCAACGAAAGGGACAGTGTAATATGAAATATCAATAAAATCAAACTGACGTAAATAAAATAGGAAAAGATATATATATTTCTCGGGAACGTTTCAATACAGAAGTAAAAATAAACTATGAAACTACGATTAGAGAGAGTATATGTATCGTTCTAATTGGCAATTTGGTAATGTTTCACTTGTAGCCCTCCCTGTGAGGAGGGGAGGCAATGGAAGAGGTGATGAAAACGATTGATGAGGAGGAAAGGAAAAATGCGATGTACTTGCGCCTACGTCGTGTCTACTGCGTAAAAATACGTGCACTGTCGCTAAACAGTTCAACAAGGTTTATACAACGATTTAACTAGATTTATATCCGCGCGCTAAGGTTTCTCTTAAAATTACTTGAGATTACAATCGAGGAATCGTAAGTATGTATACAGGTAAAGTACATGATTGTGAAAATTTCGAACGACATTACAACAAATGTAAGCGATACACTTGTATCTCTTTCTTTCAAAATTATTTTAATCGAAAATCAAATTGTTATTAACTACAAAAATATTAAATATTTATATATTACTAATATTTGCGATTTTTTTGAGTTTTCAGATATATAAAGTCCACGCTCTATGAAAATGAAAAAGCAGATGCGATAAATACGTTATTTTCGAAGCACTCACTCTTTTTCTATTCCTTTCTTTTTCTCTTCCCCTCTTCTCCTTTCCTCTCCCATCTCTCTTTCATTTAAATACTCAAAAAAGTATGTAGAAATATTTTAATGTAAATAAAACTTAATAAAGTCATAAAAATATCTTTTTTTTTCTTCAGAATAAAATTGTTTTTCTTTTCCTTCGATTTTAGAAGGTATCTTATCTTCGCTTGAATGCGCGAGGTTCACACATGTAAGACACAAGATATATGTATAGCAACAAGCTATGTATCAATTAATCGAAAAAATATACAAAATAGAGAAAATAAACAATGATTCTATTACGCATTAATATATTTCCTGAATTTTTCTTAAAAGTTATAATATGATTACATATGTATGTGACATGATAATTTATATGTATATGTACAATATGTCATGAAATAAGAACGATAAAAGTTAATACCACTTTTGAGTTTCTGAGATCAATATGCTATATTATTTTTATATAATTAATAAATAATTCAAAAAAGATTTATTTTCTCCATCTATATACATAACAATGTACATACAAAAAAAATTATTATATATACAGAGTTAGTTTTATATCATATAAGTCATAAGTGAAAAAACTCGTCAATTTATTTTTTAAACTATACAATTCAGATATTTTAAAGAGGTTGACAATTTCATTGATATCTTCTGGATAAAAATATCTAATCTGGATAGAAATATCTAGCAATATACATTCTATAACGACCTAAATTTAAGTTTACACTTTTTTTCTTTTAGACATTAATATTTTTATTATTTTTAATGATCTCTGATCCGATCGGTAAAAACATAATGATTTTTCTTCGTCTTCCACATGTTGAATTTTCAAGCTTCTTAATCTCGCTCTGGATAATACTGGATTAATATTTTGGAAAGTTGTTGAGCTAATTCCATCGATGATGCGCACAACGTCCTTCTGCTCATCACGTCAAATGGACCTCCTTTTAACATAAGAGCGAAATGAATTAGACGTGCATTATTTTGGCATCTATCTTGTACATATATTATTATATATGCAAATTATTTGGCTGTGATTTGATTGACGCGTATTAATGTTTTGCAACTGTTTACCAGCTGGATCTATCGATACACCGCCGGCTTCTCGAACAATAAGATCTCCGGCTGCAATGTCCCACGCATGTATACCAAATTCAAAAGAAACGTCAGCACCACCAAGAGCCACCATGCACATATTCAGAGCTGCTGAACCAAGCGTTCGTATCCTGTACGATAGTCGATAAGTAAATAAATCTCTTTATGAAATCTTTCATGTAATCTTTCATATAGCTCGTAAATATGTCTTACCCGTGAACTTGTGCCGTAAGGAGCGTTATATTTTGCAAGACTATTTTCAATTTTTCTGGATCTCTACTGGTTCCCATTTCTACCATTACCAGTGCCTTACGCAATTCTGAAGTAACGACCATTAATTAAATTAGACAAAATGATTAGAAGAAGAGTTGTCGATAGTCGCATATAGTGATGATATGAAAAAAACATTTTCAAAATTTGAAGCAAACGATGGAATAAACAATGGACGTGGAACAATATTATACATATATATAATTAATCGACTTGGAATATTAATTCTTTGATACATTAGCCTTTTCGACGCTGAATAAAATCATATCGTGAAATTCGCATTCGTTCATCGTCTGAAAATGTTGGTTTTATATATAAGACGATTTTTGACGATCGTTTGGTATGGTTTGATATACATATATACCAAACACGCAAAAAATCGCCTACAGTGAGAGATTACTTGCACTACATTTAATTAAATTTAATCAAAGTATGAATATAGGCATACAAAAGATTTGAAGGGGATGAAATAAGCTCTAATAAATCATGTATTTTGAGCGATTCGAAACGCCTATGTAGTACAAAGATGTAACTTATTTATTCCTTATTAAAAATAGAGGACGATTTACCCTTTTCGTCGGATACATGAATTGGGGCGCCATTGAGAAATGCGCCCTGACCTTTACGAGCGGTAAAAAGTTGCTCCAAGATCGGATTATACACTACTCCTATTTCCGCTACTTTATTAATAAGCAGCGCAACTGAGACGCACGTGTGCGGTAAACCGTGAACGAAATTCATCGTCCCGTCGATAGGATCGATTACCCATGTTGGAGCATCCGTCAATTCTACTTTCTGTCCCGATGCAGTGCTCTCCTCGCCGATAAACCTGCATGCCGCGTAAAATATTTACTTTATGTGTCAAAATAGCTTGCCTTTTTTCCCTTTAACTTTTGCTATCGAGGCAAATTTAATTTGCATTTTAATTTCCTCCTCCATCTCTACTTTCTACTTGAAGTATTTTCACCATTTTTTTTTTCCCCCTATTATGTGAATATCAAATATTTCTTACGCGCTGCCGCGCATTATTGAAAATTATCGTCATTATATATCTGCAATGTTACAAGTTACAAGATTTCGCGGCTATATTATTGTTAGACTCTTGCAAAGTTTATTTTATTAAGACTGTGAGATTAATGTAGATAAAAATATTATCGATGTATTATTATATCTATTCAATTGCTATTGCAACGTATGCGTGAGTCTAGAATCTGGATATACTTTCAACGAGTTTTAAGTTTCATTGAAAAAGACGCAGTCATGATGAGTCGAAGGCAATATATAGCCAAGTACGTGATTTAACTTGCCTGTGTTCGGGATATCTGGACGATATTCCGTCGATTAAAAGTTTTTCTACCTCTTGATCCCATTTCGTAACCAAATCAACGTCGCACGATTTCGTGAGCACATCTTTTCGTTGCGAAATCTTTTCCCTGATGATCTGCAGGTAAAACATATATAGAGCACGATGAAATCTGTTTCAGAGATCGATATATCTTTCCTATATACATATCTATTATCGATGTGTGCCATGTGTGTGGCCGCAACTGCATGCCAAAAACTGGATGCTTGGTAATAATTAATATTATCATGATCAATCATGATTCGAATTATTATACTCGTAAACAAATACACATTGCATGCTACCAAACGCGATTGCGCGAGGAAGGAAAACATGTAGTTTTTGCTGCACATTACTCGCATGATTGTGTGCGCGCGCGCGCACATATTATATATCAATATCAATGTATTTCCGCTTTCGCATCCTGTGATTCCTCTGTGCAGGAATCATCACGCGCACTATCGTAATCTCTCATATATATGTCTACACCAGCAGTGCCAGCAGTGACCAGTAGTCAGCAGTCAACATTGCACAGATCTTGTAAAATATATATCCTATAGCTGGTCGACTTACCGAGCCAGCTTGCTTCACGAGTCGCAAAATTTCGATGTAACACTCGTCGACATTCGACATGATTTATCCGACGTGAGAAACGCTTCCGACTTCTGAGAGAGGCCCACCTAGGCTAGGATATGTAATATGTAACAATGTAAATGGAATATGGAATTCCGTTATCAGGCGCTCACAGCTCGCACCCCACCCCACAAGTGACCACTGCGCTCTGTGCCGCGAATTCACTCGTTCGCTATGTGCTATCACCGACTGATGAGCAGCTGTGAGCTGAGCCAGCTGATCGCAGTCCGCAGATTACTCGCCGATACTGAATACTGACTGTATTTGCGACACTCGGCTGACTCGGCTCACTCGACGACAACCGCGCTGAACCGCGCCGAATCGGTACCCACCGGCAGTACCGGCACGACCCGCACCCCGCACTACTCGCACGACCATATATCGAGCATCAAGACTGATCAAGACGTTTGAAGCCAAGCACCGACGACTCCGCGACGCCCGCGACGGCCGTCCCCGTGTAATGGCCTCAGTCGCCTCAGACTCAGATCAACTCAGACTCAGATGGCTTCCTACAGTTCCTACTAACGCGATAACGTCACGCGTTTTTATATCTTCTACGGAAACTTCCACCACCCATTGTGCGAATCGATTCTCGCCAGTCCTCACACTATACACATAGATAAGAAATACAACAAAGTAATTAAAATAATTGTTTTTTTTTACACTTTTCTACAAGGATGAAGGATTTTCTACATGCGGAAGGGATGCGAAAGAATGGTACAATACTCTTCAATGTTTAACAGAACAATCGTAATTATAATACACGCGTATATACTCTTGGTGTAGTATATACATATATAGATGGACATATATATATATATATATATATATATATATATATATATATCTGTCTCTTACATATATCGCTTGTTTTATATCTACATACAATACAATACATGTACACTTATTATCACACCTAAAGTTGTTTTGTTCCACAAGGAATGATATGTATGTGACGTAACTCCCGAAGGAATACGAGGCATTACGAGGCAACTTTCATTCATAAGTACATACATCTGTATATATCCTTTCTTTAATCGCTTATTCTTTAAGTAGCAGAAACGACGAGACACGACTCATCCCTCTCTGAGCGTTTCAAGCTCATCTCAAAGAACATGTCATTAAAACGAAATATACATACGTAAAAGTGATAGAGAGCCACCCTGTGTATATGCGTATACAAGCAGTTTTTTAACGTGTTTTTATATATATGTATTTGTATATATGTACACATCAAATAGCAGAAAACAAAATTTCCTTTTTGCATTACATTATAGTTATAATGATGCATCAGCAATAACGCGTACACATCGCCCAGCTATCCACTACATTCGTCCGTTAAATTAAATAACAGTTGTTAGTAATTGTGCAACCAGCGTTCTGCTATCGTGCTATTTTTATTACAATTTACCAGTATTGAGCGTTTTGCCTCTTGCGATTAATTTCAAACTTAACCTTGGACTTAACAAAAGGACACTTACTATCTTACTGGCGATGCTTATGTAGGATATGTATCGCAGCCGCGACACCTCTTTGAGGAGAGCGACCAATAATTTAATTAATTTAATTATATCAACAATCTACTCCTTCCCTATACATCCCTTTTGATCTATTCGAGATCAAGTGGTCGAGTCGAAAATAAAAGAGAGAGAGAGAGAGAGAGAGAGAGACATACCTAAAAAATATAACTTACACATTTTTACTCACTTAAAAATCTTGAATGACAATATCATCAGGATGACGATATCAATTCAATTCGATTGGCGAGAGGACAACAATATCGTTTTATATAATACATTTTGTACGTTGGTAAAATTGTTCGTAACGTTGTCAAATTAATGACTGAATATACGATAAGATTCTGAAAAGTATGCGTCTCTGATATTGTGCGAATTCAATGTGCAATCTATTTACTCTTTTATCTATATAAAATTATCCGGAAATCGTGCGATATGTTTCCGACATTCATCAATCGCGAAAAATTCTCTCAAGATACTTTCATTTTTCCTATGATAAGCAAGAAAATGCATGACTTAAACGCATGGCCTTAACTCAAATAAAAGTTGAATAACAGTTTCATCGGCCAATGTTGACGTGTCTCCGATATTCCTGTCACCCGCCGCGATTTTTCTCAACATACGTCTCATAATCTTGCCGGATCTTGTTTTCGGTAGAGCCGGGGCATGTTGGATGGCGTCCGGTTGAGCGAATGGGCCAATCCTTTCACGTACTGCTCAAATCATATTAATTTTACACGCGTATTAATCGCATCGCATATTAAATAGGGCATAAGTTTAGTCGCGCGAGTCGAATGAAACTCACCTTTCCTTTTAAGCTCGCCTTGCAATTTTTCGTCGAATGTCGTCCCCGCGGTTGGAGTAATGAAACAATATAGACATTGACCTTTAACAGGATGCGATTTGCTGACTACTGCAGCCTCGGCTACCGAAGAATGTTCCGCCAACACACTTTCCACTTCAGCCGTTGACATTAGATGACCGGAAACGTTCAACATATCGTCGATACGGCCAGTTACCCACAGATATCCATCTGCGTCGCGTCTCGCACCTAAAATCATTAATCGAAAGAAAGATGTAATTACATAATTTTCATATGACTGATCGCAATCGATCGCAATTGAAAGTTAAATAAGTTTGCAAAAATAAAATCTTAATTTTAAATGAGAGACGAAGGGAGAATAAGGATCGACGTCCATTCTCCTGGAGCGATATATGAATAAAATTGGAATATGGAGCATATTTAACAGTAGGGAATCTCGAATTACTTGGCCTAACCTAATTCCTAAACTCTGATCTGAATTAGGCTACAAACACGCCGTCATGGCTTACTTTACTATTAACTATTAGATATTAGACAGTCGACTCTGAGATTAGTCTGACTGTCTGACTGACAGTCCAAGTCGAACGTCAAACGTCGAACCTAAACGCGCACGTAACTTTGGTCAAAATTGTTAGATTATGTAGCCAAATCGTAGGATCGACGCGTTTACGAAATCCGCGTAAAGCAAACATCCAATTTAATCCGCCAACGATATAAAGCGATTATAAAAATTTCGAATATATAAAATGACACTTCGAAAGATCAAAGCTCGTCAGATATTCGACAGCAGGGGCGAACCGACGTTGGAAGTCGATGTGATCACCGATGTCGGTTTATTCAGATCGTCAGTACCCTCTACCGTGTTGCTCAATCCGAATCAAGCGCGCGAAATCAGAGATGAGAACGCCGCGGCTTATCACGGTCGCTCGGTATTTAAAGTTGTCGATATCGTTAACAACGTGATTGCTCCTCAACTGATAAAGTCAAGGCTAGAAGTTTGTCAACAAATGGAGATAGACGGTTTGCTAAACAAGTTGGATGGTACGGAGAATAAATCGAGACTCGGCGTTAACGCTATCCTCGGGGTTTCCGTAGCCTGTTGCAAAGCCGGCGCCGCTAAGAAGGGTCTCCCGGTATACAGGTATAGTGTATATGTACCATTGTTATTTTATTCCATTATTCCATAAGACCATTTATACAGCTAAATTCACCTGGAATTCCGGGATCGATTCTGCAAAGAATCCTTTTATTACAATCACTTATTCTCGGTCTTTTATATATTTTAGATACATTGCCGAATTGGCCGAAAACAATAAATTGTGCATACCTGTACCAAGTTTTACCATGATCAACGGAGGACGATATGCTGGCAATAATTTATCGTGTCAAGAATTTGCGATATTACCTGTAGGTGTGTGTATGCGTGCATACTTATATGTATGTATGTACATGCAAAGCTGAATACATATATGATCTCTAATGATTAGACTTTCAAAATATCCGGCCAGAGTTTCTTGTGTTTTTCATGCGTGACGCAGGTGCCGAGAGTTTCGCCGACGCCATAAAAATGGCCACCGAAATGTATCGAGTGCTAGAGAGAAAAATCATCGATGCTAAACAAATACGGGGCCCACTTCCGACTAGTGACGATGGAGCCTTCGCTCCTAATTTGGAGAACGACGAAGCCGCTTTGACCCTTTTAGACGCATCCATTAGAGACGCTGGTTACGAAGGCAGAATTAAAATAGCGCTGGATATGGCAGCGAGCGCTTTTTATAAAGAAGGTCTATTATTATCTTCCTCCTTCCACATACAATTATCTTACAGGCATATCCTAAAGAAAGTCTGCATTTACATTCACACATAGGAGGATACGACTTAGCGTTCAAGACGAAGGATTCCGAGCCCACTAATTATTTGGGGGCCGAGGCTTTACGGGACCAATATCTTAAGTATATCTCGAAATTCCCAACGATAGTTTCGATCGAAGATCCTTTTGATCAAGAGGACTGGGATAGTTGGCTAACGATCGTTCACCAAGGGATTCAAGTAGTCAGCGACGATCTCACCGCGATGAATGTCGAGAGGATCGAAGAAGCAATGGTCAGAAATGTAGCAAACTGTCTCATACTAAGACTATCACAGATCGGCACTGTGACAGAGGTCATTAATTGCGCGAAAATGGCAAGAATCAACAATTGGGGTTATATCGTGAGCACAAGCCACGGCGAGACGGAAGACAATTTCATCGCAGATTTGGCGGTTGGACTTTCCGCCGGTCAATTCAAAGCCGGAGCACCTTGCAGGTAACAGAGAGGACGCGGGCAAATATGTCGTCAAAAGTGATATGTTCCGAGTTTAGAATCAATCTCAAATCGAATGCCAATTCATTTCATCGTCGCTAATTTTTTACTCGAGCTTATTCTCGTCTAACGATCGACCGGATTATACGATACGTAAAAATCATATCCATTTAACCATGGCTGCGGGCCCACTTGACGCTACAAATGCTTTGAAGCATGCGTTTTTCTTCACCTTCTTTCTTCGTTGAAAGAAAGGAGAAGAGGAATGCTTCGAAACATTTGTAGCGTCAAGTGGACCGCACAGCCCATGTCTAATATTGCCCATAATTGCAGGAGTGAAAGAATGGGCAAGTATAATCAAATATTGAGGATCGAAGAGGAACTTGGTAAAGATGCCAAATACGTTGGAACGAAATATCGAAATCCTCTAGCGAAATAATCTCGCGGGTAGTATGCGTGCCATTAATTGAAATACAACAATAAAATAATAAAGGGGGGGGGGAAACAGAAGAAAGATCAGACAACGCGCTTACCGTCTCCCGTACAGTAAAATCCATTGAATCGATCAAAGTACGTATTTTGAAAACGTTGATGATTGCCGTAGAGGGTTCGCATCATCCCTGGCCACGGTCGACGGAAGACGAGATATCCCTCTCCTTCGCCCTCAATCACGCGACCGTCCTCGTCAAGAAGCTCCGGCAGAACCCCAAAGAAAGGGAATGTCTACATCACATTCGTTTTGTACATCAGAAATAAATAATTATTTGTCATGCAGGAATTTTTTAATGGTAAAAAGTTTTTTACCGCGGAGCCTGGCTTCATAGGCGTAGCACCAGGCAACGGTGTAATTACATGACCACCAGTTTCCGTTTGCCAGAAAGTGTCTGCTATGCTGCATTTGCCGTGCCCGACGAGATTATAAAACCAGAGCCAAGCTTCGGTATTGATCGGTTCGCCGACTGAACCGAGGACCTGAAACGCATGGCTCTCTGTATGTTAAGCATATATTTCTTTCGTTTACGTCTTTATTCTTTTTCTTTTTTTTTTTTCCGATCGATGAATAAGCGCAACCAGATTTACCTTAAGCGTGGATAAGCTATGCTTCTTGACAAGATGATCGCCAAATTTCATTAGTGATCTGATAGCCGTTGGCGCCGTATAAAATTGCGTGACCTTGTACTTGTCGATAATGGACCAGTATCGATCATTTTCCGGATAGAAGGGTGTACCCTCGAACTGTCAAGTGCGAATTGCCGAGAGTGAAAAGGCCGAAAGTGACGAACGATATACGTAAGAGAATGTAGGAAATGGTATACGTACTATGACAGATGTTGCGCCATTCGCCAACGGGCCGTAAACCACGTAAGTGTGTCCTGTGATCCAGCCGCAATCGGCGGTACACCAATAAATATCGCCTGGATGATAGTCGAAAACATATTTGAAAGTTGTTGCCGCATAGATCAAATATCCCGCAGTGGTATGGAGAACACCCTTCGGTTTTCCAGTAGAGCCGCTATGTGGGAAAGCATTTAAAATAATCGTTTGAGCAAGAACAAATTGGGGTGGGGGGGGGGAGAGGGAGAGAGCTACGCATCTTGGAGAAAGGCGCTATTCTATATCGACTCTATTTTCTATTTGGCCTCGACTGCGATAGGTAGACGATTATGATGACAAACAAAAGGAACATGTACCTCGTATAAAGGATAAACAGTGGATCCTCAGCGGCCATCCAAACTGGATAACAGCTCGCCTCTGCGTCCTCCATCTCGTCGTGCCACCAAACATCTCGATCGTCGTCCCAAGAAACATTGGCCATTTCCATGGCCGTACCGTTGCTAGTGCCGTTCACTCCCTTCGTCTTACCCTGTGGATTGTTGAGTCTTCTCAGATGCGCGACGACGATGCAGCTTTCGAGTCGATGGCCATGCTTCGTGACCTTATCCGCAGCTTCGTCGCAGATATTTTTCAACAGAAGCAACTTCTCGCCTCTCCACACGCCATCCGCAGTGATGAGAACTTTGGCCTTGGAATCGAGGATACGGTCCGCCAACGAGTCAGATGAATATCCTGCGAACTGCAAACGTATTATCATATACCGTGTGTCCTTATTGTTTTTCTCCTCCTGATTTTACCCGGGAAGACAAACTCCCGTTGGCCTATATTGGTATTTACTTACCACCACGCTGTGAACCGCCCCTATCCTTGTGCAAGCCAGCATGGCGATCGGTAGCTCCAAGATCATCGGCATGTAAATCACCACTTTGTCGCCGTTGGAGACACCCTTCGACTTGAGAACATTCGCAAACCTGCACGTCTCCTCGAGCAACTTTCTATACGTCAGTCGCGAATAATCTTCCGGATCGTTTCCTTCCCTGGGTGATAGCACAACGAATAGTAGTAAATGATAAAATCTAACGATACAATTTTTCATTCGACTCGACATTCGAAAGAAGACGAAAAGTATCAAAATTGCATTCTATTCGCGCGGTCTCACAAGCGCCAAGTCGCGTAACGCGAGGACGCAGCAATGAATATAAATACATAAACATACTTATACGCGTGTGTATATATATATATATATATATATGTCAGGCGCATTTAACTGTACATACGTAAATACATACATGTGCATTAGATCTGAATCGTTTGGAGCAGTCTACAGAGTCAATTTGAAATTTGAAGTATCCTACTATGCGTATCTAAAAGATTTCGAGGGATACATTATAACTATATGAGAAAGGTCAAGCTTGGAAATGTGCTCGAAGAGAGACCGCACGCGCGCATACATTTTGATAAGTCTTACGTCAATAAGCGTAACATGCTAATGCTAAATTAACAATAAGAATTGTCGTAGAATGGACTACATTATGGAAGGTCAAAACAAGCTTGACAAGCTTGCGCCTAGCTTGATGACATCGCAAATCGACCGATAAAACGAGACTTTTCAATCACATCGCCTCGGTCGCTATACCGATTGTGAATAGAGAAAGTTACGTCGTGTAAAATCTCGTGTAATAGAAATAGGATATACGCTAAGAGCTAAGAGCTATAAGAGCTACGAGCGTGAGATGAACTAGATATAGTCTCTCATCAGTCTTATATGCGCTGAAGGATATATATTATCCTTGAGCGACGTTACGTGAGGTCTGAGGAGAGCGCGCCGCATCTGAAAATGACCTTCATCTCTCAATCTCCTCTCTAAACTCAGGGTTAGACGGTGTTAATTCATATACCGTCCAAGTCATTAACATTAACATTAACATTAACATTAACATTAACATTAACATATACCATCTTGTACTTGGCAATCTTAGCATTCGTGATTTGCGCTCGGCGAATATTTGAATTTGAATGCATTTTTATGATATTTTTCTGACAGTCCCGTCCGTCTATAATGTCTATATAATCTTGCTCTCATGTCTCATTGGCGATCGATCGGATTTACGCTCAAATCGCTCGCATCGCGCTTGCATATTCGCGATATTCGCGATATTCGCGAGGAAAAGAAGACTGCTCGGGTATCTCAGATATCTATATCTATATCGAACGGTTGCCGACGATGCCGACGCCAAGAAGGAACGTCTCGCGGCTCGCATGCCCTCGCGGCAAAATTTTCAGTGCGAATCGCGTGATCGAATCGTGCTCAGTCTGCGAGTCTGCTCGGTCCTCACGTCCTCAGTCGTGCTGTCGCTGTGACGCAATCAATGACGCGATCGCGCGCGATGCCTCGCTGGCCAATGGAGACGCAGGCCATGTGTGTAGGCCATGTGTCGAGTTTTTCGGCAAATATTAAATAGGATGGACATGGTCCGTGTCCGTGATCGTCCGACGCGGTCGACGGTCGACGGTCGACGTCGCGTATTCTGTGACACGCGCGTCTGTGACAAAATGTCACAGACGTGCATTAGAATATTCTGAATGGCATCGACGATCGTTGATGATTAAGCGAAAAGAGATACGACTCTGAAAACTCGAATTGTCCGAAATGCGCGATTCTAAGTCTAACGTTGTTGCATTATCGATGGTAATCGATGGTGAACACTGATTACTGAACGATAATCCGGTCGGAATCCAGCGTAGGTAGGCCGGGAATCAAATATGTATGAAGCGTGATATCGCGAAACTCATGATAATTCTTTTCGCTCGCGTCTCTCTCTCTCTCTCGCAAATATATAGCGAGCAAAGAGCGTAGAGAGAGATTCCCGCGAAACAAGTCTCATTCGATCGCGCGGTTAAAAGTGGCGACGCGACCGGGCGCGTTAACGACGAAGTAGATGTATAGAAACGATAACGCGAGGTGGAGATATATGTATATCGCATATTTAACAATGAAATATATCATTTTGCGTAAGCGACGCAAGCTCAACGTTCCAATGACTTGCATCTACTATTCGAGGATATATGTATACTTTACATGGAAATGAACCGCGCCGCGCGTGTCGGACACCGACGACCGACGTCGAACGTGTTCGAACCGATCTGCGCTCTCGCTTACGCTATCTCTCGACGTCGAATCGCGCTTTGTCTTATCTCAACTTACTCCTTACGGACTCCTCCAACGATTGTCATTACTCGTCCTCTTACTAGTCTTACCAGTAAAATGCAATTTTATCGCCATTTCCGCTCTTGACGTTCTTATCGAGTAGATTGAAGCTTATATTTGTCGATGCTCCCTCCATCCACCTTATGAAAATGTCACCTTTGCTCAGATCGAAATTGTACGAGAAGAACTTGTCCTCTATCGCTGGCGTTTCCCAATAAAATTGTTTGGCGATTTCTCCCCAGAACTGCGTCGGGTCCTTAATAGAGCTGGGGAAAGAGAAAGTTACGAGTCTCTCTACGTCTCACGTGGAGCTATATTACACGCTGCTTCTCTTCATCGTTTCGCGATACACGAAAAAATAACAATCCATACGTATTGTTTATTACTTATTGTCTCTCTCCCTCTCTAACGTTTAACGAATCGATTAATTTCTCTTTTCTTACGTAACGCGGCGATTCTTCATTCTACTTTATTTACAAATTTATGCACGTTCGGTGCACCCGCGAATTGTGCACATTATTATTGCCGTTTCCGCATTACGTGGACAAGTTCGCAGTCCCCCTCCGGTGGAATACATTGCGAATGAAAGAAATAATAAATACATAGATCGCACCGTGTTAAGTTGGAGTATAACGGCGATATACATGTTACATTTCTAGCTGTCCGCGCCCGCCCCCGCACCGCGGAGGAGCTCTCTTTTCTTCACGGAGAAATTTGTCCCACCCCTACGGGATCGATATCGCGGCCGCGGCGCGCTTCTATCTTCTATTCGTGTCGTACGTATGTATACGTTTGTGCAAGGCATTAAGGCTAGATGAATCTCAATGCCCGAATCTCAAATAATCTCAATGCCCATCTAAAAACGCAATAATTCTTTTTCTCGTGAGAGAGAGGGGAGAGAGAGTAACAACCCCGTTGTACCGACCGTTAAAGGTCAATATCGATAAGTAAACATCCCCTTCAAATACCAAAATCCGACTAGCGAGCTAAAAAGAAAACATGTAGGTACCTTTGCATCTCTCTATCGCTTATTTATTCTATTAATCCTTTTGCATCTCGTAAACGTTTTCGCGTCAAAGACTTATGTTCGATCCGAGAGCGACAGTTTGTGCGATGACAGTTCTCTCTCTCTCTCTCTCTCTCTCTCTCTTTGGCGTAGGGCGTAGGGCGTAGGCGTAAGACGTGGAAATTTCATGTTTTTTCCTACTCACCTCTCGTGCATTCGCTTGTACTGTTCCATGCTACCGCAGTGCGCCTCCCTCGCGAGCTCCGAATTGGGGTAGTACATTTTCTCTGCCATGTTTCGCTCCTCTCTTCCTCTTTTTCTCTATTTCTCTATTTCTCTCTTTCTGTCGTCTGGGCGCTCGAATCCTCGTTCAAACTAGAACGAAACGTCCGTAAAGATAAAACAAAAACTGTGATACTTGTGGTCGCGGTCGCGCGCTGTACGAGGTACGAGACGACGCGACGTTGGGGTTTGGGCCGTTTGGGGTGGCGAGTGGCGACTATAGGCTTCACTAATTGCAAGCTCGCGGCGGCTCGCGGCTCGCGTCAATCTCCGTACGTATGGTATGTACCGTATATACATACTAACATACGTACGCAACACTTTACCGGCCTGACCGATGGCGACGAACCACGACTGATGAGTGACGACCGATGGCGATGAGTGATGACCGATCCACTGATCGACTGATCGCGTCGTCGCGAGTACGCGCGGCGAGTATCGCGACTCGCGACTCGCGACCGAAACGAAACGCGCGCGCAACACGATCAACGGGCAACCGGGGCAACGGAAAACGGAACTGGCGCGGGGGAGGCGGAGGCCGGGGCGATGGCTGCGATGGTAGTGGTGTCAGTGTCGGTGCGAGCACACGAGCACACACGAGGACACGGACACGGGTGCACGAGTGACGAGTGACGAGTGACGAGCACCGACACCGACCAACACCAACCTGCACCAACCTGACCAATCCAGCACAGGGCTGCCGGCTGACAGGGCAGTAGGGCACAGGTGAACGGTGAACGTCGAACGATATTGACTGAGGGAGTATCGATGCGATTGCCCGATTACGTCACGTTTCTTTTCTACTTGATTTCATATACGAGATATTACGTCTCTTTTTCGCGATTTTTCGTCGTTTCTCGTTCCTAGTTAACATATGTATGCCACTTTCGAATTTATCGATTTCGAATATTTACCCACGTACCCCGGGATCGAATCGAGTAATAATCCTCTCGCTCGCAAATTAAGACACCTATAGCTGTCGTTTAATCACTTTAATTACTTTTTTGTACGTCCAGCGCTTCCGCGCGGGCTCGTGAAAAAATTTTTGTTTCTCGTCTCAATATATTTATTGATAATAATAATTTAAGTTTCCCTCGTAGTTGGTCCAAAACATATGGCGAATCAAACCACCAATCAGAACGTGCCTAAACGGTGTCCAACGTTGCTCTCTACACCCTCTACACCTTTCTCACACTCCGACAGGCGTTGCTGGTTGCTGTTGCTCTAGAGTAGTCTAGAGACAAGCAGACAAGGGTAACTGCGACGGTTAGGTTAGGTTAAACGTATGAAAGTGAAACCACTCTTTTCCATCGGTTTCGAAGCATTTTGAATTGTCATTGTCAAAAGCTGACATTTGTCAACGTGATCCTGAGTTCTGACTCGCATGGAAATGGAATGATAATTATATTTTGTACATCTTTGCAAGCGTTCGTGACGCTGAAGAGCCTAGTCAGCCTACTGCCACTGCCCATTTTGTACAGATTACCACCTCGTAATAATAATAGCTAATAATAGCTTTTCAACATGCATTATCAGCCTTACGATGGCGAAGAGGAATTTGAACCGAGAGTCGTACCGAAACCTATAACTAAACGCGATGTAAGTTGCTTCTTCAAATTACCTCTGTCAAATCTTTCGTCTCTTATCTTGTTTATCTTGTGTAGTTTAGCTACATACAACATACCAAAAAGTATTGCAGAAATAATTTCAGACAATTTACAGTGCTTTGTAGCGCCGACTGTGCCCGAGATCTCTTTGATCTTCGAAAAGCCCATAACGAGGAAGCTAAACGATGCAAGTGCCGCGTCGTCGCCAGCAAGATCAGCGAGCGTGGTGCGGGTCTCTGACAATAATCCTATTTCGTGCAATCCCAACTCTTACGCGGCCTGGAAGGAACAGAAATACTCTGGAGAGAATACTTGTGCAAGTACGACGCATGCTTTGCCATTGTGTGACAACTCTTATAGCTATACGTGTGCGTCGCCATCAGGCGTACAAAATCAGGCTTCTGCACAAAAGCGACGAGAGCAAACAGAAACTAGAGATAAGCATGAAAACGTGCCGAGTGTTAATAAGAATGATAGAATGTATGAGAAAAGTGTAAAGTTTAAATGTTCTGATACCAGGGATTCTTATAAACTCGAAACGCAGACTCGTTTATCTTCGAACAAGAGACCCTTGTCTTCCGCGTCTTCCGCGGTACAAAAAACAACTACGAGCGATACTATTTCGGATACTTTGAAACACGCTCAACATTTTCAGACCCCTGGACATCAACACGTTCATATACCTAGCTACTCAACGTGCAACGTCGACAATAACGAGACGGTGAAAACTTTGTTGCAGCTTGTAAATAGTCAAAATGAACAGATCAAAAATTTACAACTCCAGGTAGATAGACTAGTAAGATTGCAGGAAGAAAATTTCAGAAACAAATCAATGTGCTTGTGTTCGCAACCTCTTGCAAATCAAGTATTCAGATACCCGATAACGTGTTATGACCCTGCCCTTGCTTCGTCCCTCGCGCAGTCTCATAATCGAGGTATAAAGCAAAATGTGGCCTCGCAGAGTACGTCTGTTGTAGAGAAGCAAGATCTAGAAAACTTTGGTAATAATAATAATAATAATAATAAAGTAGAAACAGCGTTGTTGGAACAGCACGCGACAAAGGCTTTTGTGGAACAAAAGGTTTCGATCGGCGTTATGACAAGTTTCGAATTTACCGTGCAAAACAGCCCGTTTCTGATAGATTCTGAAATATGTGAGAAGAATCTTGAAGCTCACAGAGAGGGTAACAATATTAATAGAACAAATACCGTAAATTTACATGATACAGCAGAGCCTGTTAATAGATATAAGAATACATTTACGCGCAAGCCTGGAGCAGCGCAATTAGAGAATATAGTCGAAGATTCGGAGAGTTATTTGTCCTCTAGCTTGCAACAGCAAAGTAGTACGTTCAACGCGAGTTCTTCCGTCAAAGAATCTTCAAAGATGTATCAACATCTGTCTACTGATTTAAATCGGGAGGAAACGCACAAAGGTATATATACAGGCATAGGGAAAGACGTGAACGTGGATAACCGAGTGCGGACGGCGAAGAAACGGCCAAACACATCTATGAACGTAGCGTGCAGTCCTCGCGCGAGCGCAACGTGCGGTAAAGCGCACGTTGTCGAACAAACAAACGATTACGTTAGGATAGACGGGAAAAAGAGTTATGAGACAAACATTGATCGACATTCTTTACGTGACGTGCATTCACCAGCAACTACGGATTACTATCATAATCATAGAAACAAAGAGTACGACGCTACGGTTAGACAACGTAAAGACGTAGGTGACAGCATGATTTTGAGCGGAGGTGATCTTAAGATACTCGAGAGACCTCCACCAACTCCCGAACCAAGTATTCACGTTGAGATGCAGGAGTATACGAGTGACGATGAGAGTGATAAGTTGAGGCATACTTCAAAAATAGGTTGGACCTTCTACAACAATGTTTTGGGACAAGTTAATGAAATTTTACAAAATTCTGGCGTTGCAAGCGATAAAGATAAAGATCTAAATCATGATAAAACAGCACGCAACGTTGAACAAGAAAATGATACGGAAACTAGAACAGCATTGAACACTGTTAAAGCGGCCACTTTGGAACAACTTCGGAGACTTGGGATTAGTCTAACTGATAACACGGAGCACAGGGAGTCCAATGGTAACAAGACGTATGTATCTTAACATTACGTTTTATTTCAAATTAAATAGAATTAAATCTAGCGATTCAAATCTGCGAATTATTTTTCTTCTTGAAACAAAAACTGACTGGCCACATTACTATATATATGACGATGATGGTAATAATATATTAATGATAAGGGCAATTATAATTATACGTGATTTTCTTTGAAGGTTGGACTTTGATTCATCTTTTTATCCCCGTTTGGATCATCAAGCAAATATGACACACGCCACTAGCGTTGTAAACGAAACAAATACGAGTATGCATATGAAAGCGTTGGCATTAAAGTATTTAAGTGACGAGCAACTGGCCGATATAGCGTGGCATAAACAAGAATCATCTTCATTGAAACATCTTATGCTCAGCAATATGCAAGGGACCAATATGTCATTAGCTACAATGCGTTATTTAGAAAGATATCAACTTCTCCCAGGAAAGAATAATGTTCAAGCAGAGAGTGAGTATATCGAGCAATGAGATGATACTAGTGTATGTACGTCACTTAAACGGAATTAAATAGTATAAAATGTGTGCGCGTGTGCGTGCATGCATGTGTGTAAAAGTGATATAAAATTATACATTTATAACGTTGTCTCGCGTTATTATGAGCATTACTCGCTGACATATAACACATGTAACGTTGTAACCTATATTTATTTATTTTCTAGGTACTGAACAAATATTTGACAAAGCCTCATCTAAACACGATTTTAAACTGGCGGCTGTAAACAATAGTCCTGCGCTACGTCGATATCCTCTTGTACAAACATCTGGAACCACTTGTCCTAGTAGAATATTAGATCTTTCAACTTTAAAACGACAACCAAAGTTATTATAAATTCTAAATCAAGTTATTTATGATATGTACCATAAAGAGATAAATAATAAGCGATTTTTATTATATATTTATATGGAATACACAGCAGATTTTTATACAAATCTTAACTCTTTTTTAACTCTAAAAAAAATAAAAACAAATTTGCTTAGCGACAATAGCGACAAACGTGAAACTCCACTGAACTCTACTTGTAATTACTGCACGTAGCTGAGACTCGAACCGTACCTTGATTGCAATTAAAGGATTCTTTTCTCTTTTATTTTTAGAAAAGACTTGTATATATCGTATAACGAGAACTTATATATTTTATAACGTAAAAGAATGATTAATGTGTGTGAACGTGAGCACCACTCGCAATCGTGCGTCGTTGATGTCGTCATTATCGCCAACCAACAATAGGTAATAGCAGAGAGAAACTTGAGAGCGGCCATCCCGCTTCGAGGACCGGAAATAAGTTGGCGTTGCAAGTTCATATTTTTTAATGAACTATAGCTCAAACGATTGCTCCCTAATTGCTCCCTCAGAATCAACAATTGCTCCCCTTTTAAAATTATTATTTTTTGAGATATTTAATAAAAACGAAAAATTTCTAATTTTTATTGAAAAACATATTTATAATAACTCTATGCAACTAAATCCGGCATAGAACGATTGCTCCTTCATTGCTCCTTATTGCTCCATCATAATTTTAATGATTTATTGCATTTTTATTGAAAAATTAACAAATTAATCATTTCACAAGTAACGCCGCCGCCGTCACTATCGGCCGCCTATTGTAACTATGGCTCGGCAGCCATTGGCGGAAATATTCAAACGTAATATAATAGCTGTATTGTTCATAACTATATCTCAAAGAGTTTAGTCAACATTTCCTATTGATTTTCGGTAGAATAACTATTTCTCGCTTTGCTCTATTGGGATTTTCAATCGCTCCATTCGTATAATTAATTTTGTATGATATTTTAGCAAAGAACTGTTTATTTTCTTGGAAAAGTACATTTCTCACAGTCTTCTGCAAGTTTATCCAACATAAAACGATTGCTCCTTAATTGCCCACCTGTCAGCATTGTGCATGAGCCCTTATTGACGTTAGGCTGAGTTTTCACTGTGCGCGTCACGCGTCGCGTCATCTGTCGTTAAAGCCCCTTGCACAATGCCAGGCAACAGGCAATAGAAACAGGGAATAGAAATCAGAAATCATGTATAAATGCAGAATAAACAGTGACACAGGCAATAGACACAGAGTTTCCGTCACGTTGGAAATTTTGTGCCTATTGCCTGTTGCCAACCAATCATAGCATTCAAACTTTTTAGGTTGTAATTAACGATTTTTTGGTTATTTCCTGTTCCTATTGCCTGTTGTTTGGCACTGTGCAAGGGGCTTAACCAATCTAAACATCCCATTACAAATAATGTAATAAAATAAGATGTTTTGATTGGTCGCGACGAATAACGCGATGCGTGACGCGCTCAGTGGAAACTCAGCCTTAGTGCCCATCTACAATAGGTGTTTTAAGCCCTAAGCCTTAAGAAATTGTTCAATCACAATTGAATTTGAAGAGAATAAATTGACTGTGATTGGTCAATTTCTTAGGGCTTAGGGCTTAAAACACCTATTGTAGATGGGCACTTAAGCTTTGTGTCCATATTGCTAGAACTGCGTTCAAGTTTTGGTTTAAGCCAATCAACTTGCAGCTCTTACAGAAAAGCAGCGACGAATAGAGCGATTGAAAATCCCAATAGAGCGAAGCGAGAAATAATTATTCTATCGAAAATCAATAGGAAATGTTGACTAAACTCTTTGAGATATAGTTATGAACAATAGAGCTATTATATTACGTTTGAATATTTCCGCCAATGGCTGCCGAGCCATAGTTACAATAGGCGGCCGATAGTGGCGGCGGCGGCGTTACTTGTGAAATGATTAATTTGTTAATTTTTCAATAAAAATGCAATAAATCATTAAAATTATGATGGAGCAATAAGGAGCAATGAAGGAGCAATCGTTCTATGCCGGATTTAGTTGCATAGAATTATTATAAATATGTTTTTCAATAAAAATTAGAAATTTTTCATTTTTATTAAATATTTTAAAAAATAATAATTTTAAAAGGGGAGCAATTGTTGATTCTGAGGGAGCAATTAAGGAGCAATCGTTTGAGCTATAGTTCATTAAAAAATATGAACTTGCAGCGCCAACTTATTTCCGGTGCTTCGAAGGACGCCTAGAGTTCCTCTAGTAAGAGTTAGGACACCCCGGTCTGACTCCTGATTGGTTCTGCCATTAATAGGGAAGACGTTAGTGGGAGTGAGACAAAGCTATAAGTGGGAGTGAGACAAAGACCCATGAAAAGTACGAGTGGGGAGGCTGTCTCAGGCTGTCTCTCTCGATCGTTCGCATAATTCCCCATTAATGGCGGACGGTGTCCTAACTCTTACTAGAGGAACTCTAAAGGTGGAAGCACATAAAATTACAGGGGTACGTTCCAAAACTCTACTCTGAGTAGCAGGGTTAACCCTACGCCGTTCCAAAACGCGAAGTAAGTAACTATATGGGCGGAGCCTATTCGTTCCAAAAGTGAGAGTAAAGTAACCCCGGAGTTAACTCTATGAACCCTGCTTCCGAGGTGGGTTAGGAGAGTAAACTCTACTAAATTTGAATATAAACGCGGGATCTTAGAACATATAAGCGCAATTGTCTCTATACACCGCGAAAACGTTGGCCGTTGCTGTGATAAGTAAGAGAGTATAATATTAAAATTAGATAAAGTATTTTATATTAGAATTAGAAATGATACTTTATTACCCGGGTCTGAAAGAGCGTTTTGTAGGGACGTACCCAACCCTGTACATTTATATATACATATAAAATAATATTATTTCCCGGCCTGGCCATTAAGCGACCTCACAAGATAAAGTATTTTATATATCACACATAATAAATGAGCATATTAATTTCTTTTTTAATGGTTTTTTAGTCTGTTTTAGAATTGAGAGTTACTTTAAAAAAAAGTAAAATTTATTAGGTTAGGTTAAGGTTAACTTTCAATCCTAAAACATTGTTGAAGTATCAGTATCATACATATATACAAATAATATTATAAATTTATATTATTGTTTACAAAGTATAAAATAGACAAAATGGATCTCACAGAACAGCAGTACACCCTTATAAAAATTTAATACTGTAAGTGATTTTTTGACTAGTAATTAATCACTTAAAAACACTATTAAAAGCACTGTTAATAGTGCTTAATCAAAAAAATGATTAATCACTAGCCAAAAAATCACTTACAGTATTAAATTTCTATAAGGGCATAATAATCGAAGGTGTAATATACAACATTACGACAACACCCGAGATGCATAAAAGAATACGAAATGGTAAGTTAAGTAGTAGAGTATTTCATTAAACTAATTTCATTAAACAGCTCGTTGAGCTCGTTGAGCTTCCATTTTATTCGTTGCTAATACTACTTTTTCAACGTTCCAAATCGTTCAACCAGAGTAACTTACTCTGGGCTTACTCTCTCCCCACTATCTTGGGTTCTTTAGAGTTGACGGAGTAGAGTTTTGGAACGTACCCCAGGAGCCATAGGCAGAATGCAGAAGCCATAGCGCATGCGCTGTGGTATTACTTTATCTGCCTATGGCAGAATGGCAGATATCATAGCGCATGCGCTATGGTTTCTGTATTCTGCCCATGGCTTCTGGATTTTCAATCTACATAAAAATACATAATGCATAGCCACGGGCATAGGCACATACATTCTCATTGTAGCCGGTCCTAAAGAAAAGTGATTAAGAACAAAGAACGGATTTATATTGATTAACACGTAAGTATTCTCATTATTTAATTATCAACGTAATGAAAATACGATCTGACAATGACCGTATATAATTATATTAGTGTGAATTGTCTCAGTTTCGTAAACATAGTGTTTTGAGGTTAATTTTATTTTGTGTGCCGAATACAGCAGCAGCAACGCGCGGCTCAGGACAGTTTGAAAAACATAGACAACGAGTCCGATGCACCTAAAATACCGAACAGATTATCAAAGATTGGTATTCGGATGACGAGGACGATGATGATGATGATGACGAGGGAAGTAATCTTACTATAGTGGATAGTTCGAAAGACAAAATCGAGCCTATCGAGAAGACGCAAAACCTCGTTATCAAGGAGGAGTTCCAGCCTGCGACATCCGTGTCCAACGTACCCCAGCCGGCCGCTATTTTGGACAAATTAGGTGACCTGAGCAAAATTGATATCAGTGCCGAAGTATCCAAATTGCTTTCTACTCTGAAGGCTCAGAGCTCCGCGACCAACAAGACGCAAGCAAACTCGAATCAAGACGCGTCGAAACCTAAATCGGCACAAGATCCGAAGACGGATAGCGAGACGTCGTCGAGTCCGAGGCGATCACCAGAAATTGTAATTTATTGCAAAATAAACGCATCTTCTCATAATTTTCGGTAAGTTTTATATACAGTTTAGGTGTAAAAATTTATTATTAAAACATTCTCTTGATTTCTCGTTATCAAGGAGGAGTTCCAGCCTGCGACATCCGTGTCCAACGTACCCCAGCCGGCCGCTATTGTGAACAAATTAGGTGAACTGAGCAAAATTGATATCAGTGCCGAAGTATCCGAAGACAGTGCATCTGTCGAACTTCGTTATCTGTCCAGTTTTTAATTTTTATCGACAA